CCAATAGTTTAGGGAAGCACTATCCAGGTCCTCCAACTTCTCTTCGAGACTTTGCACACGAACATCATAATCTTTGAACACACTTCCCGCATCAAGTATACAGAATTTTTGCTCGCGCGCTGCTTGCCAAGCTCGGAAAACCTCAACGGCCCACTTGTCTTCATACTGTGTACTTTTAGGCTTGGACTGTACAAGCAAAGAATCTTCTTCTTGCACACTTTTGGGCGGTCGAAACCGGCAAGATTCATCCTCAGCTAACCCGTCCATGTTTCGGAACTAGCAGAACGCCACTGAATGCAAATTGTGACTACTTGAAATAAACAAGCTTCATTTGTGAAAAACACGGACATTATCATCACAAACTATGCGCTGATTAAACAAAAGAAGGCAAAAATCATATGCTTATGTGATCTTTGCTTCTTTTGTTCTTTTGTTTTCTTTTTTTCTTTTGTTTACAATTAGGCGCCGATTGAGAAGCCATTTCAAAAACTCGTGCTTCGTGTTTTACCTGTGTTTCCAAACACTCGAAAACAATAAAAGCAGTCGGCCGTTTCATCAGTTTTATCGTGTGTGGAAAACCCGGTAAAACACTCGCACTCGTTTTTGAAATATTACTTCAAAACAAAGTTAGTTGACACCTTTTGAACAACAAAGTTTTGCGCAACTCTAGGAGTTAAAATATCGGGCAGCCTGGTCTTACTTTTGTAATGACCACATAGTTTCTCAACAACTGACGTGAAAAACTCATTAAAGCTAGTAGCCGTTAAATTTTCAGAGGCTGGAGCATTCGCAGTTTTGTGTTGCTTCTTGTTTGGTATAAGCTCGTTCAGAGTTTTCCACAATTTACGCGAGTCCTGTTTTTCACATAGCTGATTTGATTTATAACTGACTTTTTCCTTACGAAGTTTCATCGACACAGCGTTACCCAACCTTTTGTAGCTGCTCCAGTGAAGCTCTTTGTTAATTTTAATGGATTTTTTGTGATGATAATCGCGCTTTTTCATCAAGTCCTTTATAGTAGGTGTGATCCACGGTAAAGATCTCCCGACTACTTGACTACTGGAGCATTAGGGTTTTCCGATTTAGCGGAAGTTTTATTTTTGCTTATGCAAAATATCTGGCTCGTAAAAGGATAAATGAGCACAAACACAGTTGGTAACTTTTTTTTTTTAAACAAGAGGGTTCATTTGCAGTATTTGCGTCTGGCAGTCGCATTTGGCCAATACGTGTACGCTGCAAATAAATTCACACTCGGTGCTAACGGTTTTTAAAAGTCGTTTAAAAGATAAAGCATATACGCTAACAAGGAAAAAAGTAAACAATCTCTCACTATATCTGATTTTTCTCCATTAACCTGCGATCAGGCGGTCCTTAGATTTTCCCATTTTCTTTGGGAAGCCTGATCGCAGATTATTTCTAGCGGAGCGCGCGCGCAGCGGAGCACCATGGGTAAGAAAATTTGGTAAACCATCCATCCGAGAAAATTTGGCTATGACGTAGCGTACGCCCACCCGTAAACACACTTCATCTAAGCCGATGTCAAATGTCACAATAGATCTTGCACAACTTGACTAGCCTCTTAGTTATGTAAACCATCCGTATGAGTTCGATTAGATTGACAGCTGTCAAAATCAGACATCCGCTGACAATTATCACATGGTCATCTCGCGGGCTCAGATGAAAGACCAGTCGTTTTGCCCCTTTATATAAGCTGATATAATATGTCACACTTACCAATTCAACATAAAAACGAAACTACGCCGGGCAAGGCTGTCAGTTGGCTGACAGTCGTTTAAAGTTATATTGGCAAGCCAAATTAAGGTCAATTGACAGCTTTCAAAATGGGACACGTGTAGACCACTATCAGAAAACTAATAACGAGGGCTCAGGGTCGCTCAGGTACACGATCTGGCATTTTCCACTACATGCCGGACGGATATGTCTTACTCACACTCGTCACGGGTCTGTTAATTCGAATATTCGCCATTCTAATGAAGGTTAATTGACAGCTGTCAAACTAGAGTATACGCTGCCCATCATCACCTGAGTGTATGGAGGGGTCATTTTTCTATCCATTGAGGTCACGTAGTGTTTAAAGTTTTGCGCTGATATTTTATTTGATCACGGGCTCAATTCGAAGCCCCATAGCTTAGAAAATCTATCCATCCTAGAAAATTCGGCAATCACGTGTCCGTACACCGACCACCCGACCTTCCGTCCGTCCGCACCACAGGCATACCAATGTTTAATCTTACACTTTCTAGCTAGTTTGGGAGCCTGCAACCTGATATTGTACATCCATGTTTTGATTAATTGACAGCTGTCAAAATAGTGTTTCTGCTGACCAGTATCGCGGGCTCAGGTATCGACCCACTGAGTTCGTGTGTTTTTTTGAAGTATCCGCTGACAAGTTGATACTTTTCAAATGATGGCAGGCTCAAGTTAAATTTTTTTTAAATGAATATGAAATAAGTCGTGTTCATGAGTATCATTTTTAAAA